AAAAAAGGTATTCTTTTCTTTTTCATTTGGGTTTCCAAAGACTTACTGGCCATCCATGAGGACGTCCACCTTCCGGTTATTGACTTTTCTGTCACATTTGTGTCTGTTCTGCTCAGTTGAAACAAGAAAAAGATACTGTTTGCTTCCAAATCTGATATTAGTTTCTTATTTTTGGTTTTCTCTTTTGTTATTACCGATTTCAACTTACTATGTCATCAATGGCATCTTTGACTGCTGTTATAGAAAGCACTACTATTAAGGCAAAACCTGTAGTAATCCATGAGAGAGAGGAGATTTGTGGGATCAACTGTCAACACACATACACACAAAGATTAACACACTCTTTCAGTGCATAGATAATATCTTTTCTTCTTCTTCTGCCTAGCAGTTCATATCCCCCGATGCAGGGTCTGCTGTTTTTCATGCTGTCCTCCACTTCTTCCTATCCAGGGCATCTTTTGGTGTAACATTCGCAGCCTTCATATTGTCTTTGATTCGGTCCATCCAGCGTTTTTTTGGTCTTCTTCGTGGCCTAATTGCTGGGCTGTCTTTGCGATGGAGTTCTTATCGCTACGGGCAACATGGCTGTACCATCGGAGCCTCGTCTCTCGCATCTTGTCTGTGATCGGTGTCACTCCCCATCATTTCCTAACGTCTTTGTTCCTCGCTCGGTCTAGTCGTGTGAGACCCAGAGGCCATGTCAGCATCTTCATCTCCATGGTGTGAAGGGCTTGTTTGTGCTTGGTCGTAGCTGGCCAGCACTCTGACCCATAGAGTGCCACTGGGCGCACGATCGACTTATAAACTTTCGCCTTAAGATAGATTGGCATTCTCTTGTTGCACAAGACTTATCTGACCTGGCACCACTTCATCCATGCTGTGATGACACAGAGTCTGGCGTCTGGTAGAGTTTCGCAGTCCGAGGTGACAAGGGACCCGAGGTACTTGAATTGGGCAACTTTAGTCAGCGGCTCGCCGTTGATAGTGATGGTACTGTTGGTCTGGGGGCCGCGTTCAAGGTACTCAGTCTTCTTGATGTTCAGGCACATGCCGTTTTCAGAGAGCCAATCTTTCCATGCTTGTGTTCAGGTTTGCAGGGCTAGGCAGTTTTTTGTTTCTGATAGACATACATCATCTGCATACAGTAGGCTCCATGGATGTGGTGATTGCAGACCAGCTGTCGCGGTGTCCATACAGAGGGTGAACAGCATAGATAATATCTTTTAAGATTCTTAAAAGTGAAAAACTTAACAGTTGCTTCATTTTATTTATGTATGTCATGTATGTTCACGCTTAATAACATTTGGAAAAAGCATTAAAAAAAATCGATTTATAAAAAAGCAAAAGAAAGTGCAAGTCCTTTCGCATTTTAAGTCAAATGAAGTTTGAAAAAGGTATGGTTGAATATAGAGAATGAACTCTGAATGCGGTTTTTGCATTGACATAACTATCTGCAGCATAAAATAACTATTTTTAAGCATGCAATTATTCTGACAAGGATGGCAACATGTCTACCTGAAGGATGAGCAGGAAGAGGAAGTAGGCATTAGCGAGCCTCTTGAACTGCTCAAAAAGATTAAGTGGCAGGAAGGTGAAGATGTTGTATTTGGAGGTCTTGATGGCATTGTTCTGAAGTTAAAGAAATCGACAGAGGAAAGTTACATGACTGATGTCAGTTTAACAAAAATCACTGTGATTTAATATTTAAATGTTTGTAATAAAGTTTTTTAATGTTTAATTTATATTTGGCAGACATACTAACAAAAAATCCTAAGATTTCTAGGATTGCACTATTAATTTCCTAAAATTTCCTATTTACTCAAAAATGGTCTTTGTGACACTTGACTTTCATTGTGACAGAGTAATCAAATCCAAACAAGCAAAGCATTGAGCTGAGGGTGTGTCCAAAGCTTCTCTTGTCATCTGCTGAATAGGCATGATAACATTTGTTTATATACTTACAGCATAGCGGAAAGATAGGTTGAAAGTGCTGTCATTAGCCCGCAAGCATCTCTCCTTCTCTGTGAGAGAGTAAAGCAGTCAGAGCAGGAGAGAGTTTATGCTACTGTATGTTACAGCAGTACTGAGGAAAGAAACTCAAATTTAATTTATGGAAACATTTCAGAGCTGTTAGTCCAGCAGCATTTTGAAATGTTCACTGCTTGCCACAAAAATAAATAAATAAAACTAAAACTGAGACAGCCGTACAGTAACTGAACAATGCAGTAAACTAGAGCAAAGTTTACGTGCATCTAATCTCACCTTCCTTATTTCCGTGTCCACACAAATGGCAAAAGTATGACAGCACAGTTCCCATCTTTAACTCAGGTTCTCCATGTTTTATAACCTGGAAAAACACACATTTCAGTCCTAATTAGTGAGTCATTTCTTTATTGGTATTATATGTCGATATAATAATAGAGTGTGTTTTTATAGCGCTTTTCGAGACCCTCAAAGCACTTTATATTTCCACTATTCACTCACTCTCACTGTTGGAGGCAAACCACAGTTGTAGCCACAGCTGCCCTGGGGCAAACTCACAGAAGCAAGGCTGCCATATCATGCCATTGGCCCCTCTGGCCATCACCAGGAGGTGAAGTGTCTTGCCAAGGACACAACAACCAAGATAGACAGAGCTGGGGATCAAACTGGCAACCTTCCGGTTACAAGATGAGCTTCCCAAGCCCCTGAACCACGGTCACCCAATGGATATAAAAACCAAAAGGGGAAACTGTGGCAAAAGCAAGAGGGAACCAGTTGCTATAATATTTAAGGATTAATAGTGAAAAGGTGGAGCTGTTTAAGATGTACAGCACACCTCGTAAATTGGATATGAGGGAAAGACAGATGCAAAACATCCCAAAAATAATAAATCTGAGGTTTCACAACACTCAAAATATCTCTCCATCAATCTATAGATAGACAGCCATCAGTCACATACTTGTCAAAATTTCCACTCCTCCCCATTTTATCAGTTCTCCAAAGCTGTAAAGATATAGTGCAACTCCCTTTCAACTCTTTGTACTATAGTTAAATTTAAGAGGTAACAATCCCTAACTACACAGATAGAGATAAAGATTCATCCTTGACCATTTGACTTGTTCAGTAATCAGCCCATAATAATATGCAGGTATTGTATTTTTCAGGAATTGTTGTGGATAAATGTTTTTCAGTGAGACATAAAAAATATGAATTGATCACAGGGCAATATAAAAAATATAATTAACTGCTTCACTTTTCAGTGGTCAAATGCTACCTAATTTGTTAAGAAGAAAAAACAAATTTATCCATGAGCCATGAAAAAATCAAGAAGCCCTCTTTTGGCAGGTTTCATTTGATCCTTCTTCTTCCACTTGCAAAAATATTAAATAGGTCTGAATTACTGTAAACCTAAATTGATTTAAATGGTTCTTGATAAGAACTAATAAAATGCAGCATTTTCTAATAGTTTTTTTAAAGTCTGAAAGCGAATGAAAATCAACCACATACCTCAAACAAAAATATGATTTCTTTTGTCTTCTGGGTCCTGCTTGCAAGCAGACACAGGTGCTTGAATTTTAAGATTTCAACCCTCCTTTTACTTCCGTCTTTGAAAAAATAAATCCAAGTTTTTGTCTCTTCAGTGCATGGAAGGCCAGTTTAATCCTAAAAAGAGAAAGGAGGATCAACTGAGTCTTCTAGCAGGATAAAAGTCAACAGGAACAACAGGTGAGATGTTGTAGTTGCACCTACAGTAGAAGTTTTGGGCACATGAAACTAACTGCTAAGAGGTTATGTAAACCGTTCAGTGTTCGTTGGACTTGAGCAGGTGCAGGACGGGAAAGGCACTAAAACAATAGTAAAGCCGAAGTGCTCCAGCCAATCAGAGGGAATGTTATCACATGAGGTATAAAAATGGCGTGATGTGTATATATATACATATATATATAAATATATATATATATACATATATATACATACATATATCATATACACATATATACATACATATATATATATATATATATATACATATATATAATATATATATATATACACATATACATATATATATATATATATATAGATATATATAATACTATATATATACTATATATATATATATATATATATATATCACATATACTAGGTAAGTTTGTAATATCCACATGCCTTGCCCTGGCCCAATGCCAGCTGTCTACCCACATCATTTCGGTCGGATTCCCAGACCAGCCTCTCTCAAAGCGGATATGACTAGTAAACTGAGACCCATTGTGCTATGGTCGGCATCATTCCAGCTTGTTTACATTATCGACCTTACAGTCACAGGTGAGGATGCAGAATTCACAGCCGATGTACAACAGTGCACCTGGAAATTGAAGATCCAACTATACAGTCAAAATAAGCTGCAGAGGATTTGTACACATGTCATCAGAGCTTTTCTGGGAGTGGGAATGTTAGTCAGTGGCTCTGACTCAAAAAAAAAAAAAGAACTCTAATTGGGCCTCAACTGTGAAAAGAGCATAACATTTGCCGGATGTCTGGAACGTTCTGGAGATACTGTGTGCCTATCAGTGAAATCTTGAAGAAGGGATTCCCTTGCACCCACTCGACAACCCAGAAAAGTGTCACAAGCGGACTGCTCCATAGAGTTTAAGCTGCAGATTTCTCACATGCAACGAAGGGATATAAACACCTAGTGCTATGAACAAACTAACCTATTATCATACATACTTTTCGTACTACATAACTTTACATCCACACATCAGCAACAAGTCCATTTTTTGAATGTTTGTGGCAAAATCTGGAAAAACATGAGATAACAACTAAATTCAAACATTTTCCTCTAATTTATACATATAAAGACCACATCCTTACACCTCTTTTTAAACTTCTTTATCATTTGACAGAGCTTCAGTTTTGATAAGCATACTTTTAATTGCCACCAACTTGGAGCTTGCTGATCCTTAACAAAGAAGGCATCTGGAACTGCTGAGGCATTATCCACAGTGAGCAGTAATGAGAATAAAACTGAGGGACCAGTTCTTTTACTGAGGGCATCAACTGTTCTAATCTGGTCTAAATGTGTAGATACAATGCAACAATGAAAACAGATCCACAAGTCTGAGCTTTGTGATTCAACACTTCCTGATAAGTTGATAAAACCACACATTTATTTCAAAGAATTTCTGTCTTGGTTCATGTTGTCTTTGAAACAGAATTAATTATTCATTGCATAGTGTGTGACTGAAGTACACATAAGTAAATTCAGCAGGATGGGACAGATAGAAGTAAATAAATAAGTTCAACAAAAAGTCGAGAAACTAGTGAAATAAAGCTGTTGTCAAATTCATGTAACTGATGAAAGGAAACCTTGGCCTGTTGAGGGATACAGTCAGGAACTATAACAACCTTTTCAACATCTCCAGCTGCGGAAATGTTTTGGTCTCGATTGATTAAGTCAATAAAAGACAGCAAAGTGAAAGAGTCAATTTTGAAGGGCTTTATTAACCAACACAGTGTGAAAACAGTGTATGAGTTCAGAGTTCACAATCCTTGTGTGTCATTAACTGCTTTTACTGTGTAGAGTGTCAACAAAGAGGAAGCTCACACATACACTACTTCTGTGTTTTTCCATAAACAAATAAATTACAGCTCAACTGACTGCTGATGATCAGCTGGAACTAGAAAAAGCAATTTATTACTCAGAGAGTCTGAGCAAAGTCTTAACATGATGAAGAAAATTAATACAGCCATCCTGAACCATGGTCCAATGATTTAACAACTGTTAATGACTATAATCCACATCTGCTTGAAGCCTGGATTAGAAAATTAGATATCTGCTTTTTATACCAATCCCCTCTTCTAGAATTCAGTTCCTTGCTAAATATTTAAACACATTTTATTCTGGTTTTCTCTTTTAAAAATAAGGTTATGAAAAGGCAAAAAAAAACAAAAACAGTTACAGATATAAGACTAATAACTCGCTGTCCGCTGTGAACAATGTGACTGTAGTGGTGCCAGGTTAAGTTATACATTCATGAAGGACTGAATGTTAAATTATTAACACAGTATAATAATAATCCTCATGTAAATAACTACAGTGTATAAACTATACTAAACTATATATAATGTATAGTACAGTATTCAAGATCACTGCCTACACACAACTTTTTAGTATATACTTTGTATTAAAAATCAATAAAACTTCCTATATTTGTAATTTCTCAGCTATCTAGTTTGAAAACCTATTTCAAAACTAAGAAAAAACTAAACAAAACAAACTACATCTACCTTTTTTTATCCTAATCCACAAGCCAATTGTATTTGTAATGAAATTAACTAAAACCAGGGTAGGACATCTTTGCAAAATCTTCAAGTGTGCTTTAGAAACTGGCCAGTAATAATTCAAGTTGCACAATATGAAAATTGTACTTAATAAGTACAAAAATAAAAACAACCATTCTGAGGCAAACAACATTTTCACAGAGATATCAACATTCACACATTATAAGACACCATCTTTTCTTCAGTGCCAGGTTGAGTCCAGTGTTAGGAAAATAAAATACTGTCTGTGTTTCAGTCCCTGTGTGCTTCGGTTTTAGGGACTGTGACCCTGTGACTCCTCAGCTTCCTCAGCAATAGTGCGGTAGTGCTGTGGCTGATTTTGAAATATGGAAGAGTCTGTCTGGGTGAACAGAGGAGCTCTCTTGGTGGAGCGTTTCATCAGGAATTTTCTAGATGTTACTAGATCACCGTAGCCCTGGGAGTGAGAGAAGGCGTAACCTGACCGAGTACTATGCCTTCTCCGTAAGCGACGAGGTGCCGGTACAGGCAACTCCTCTGTACGCATCTTATACCTCACCTAGAAAAAAGAAACAAGGGATTTTTATTTTTTTTAAATGTAGACTTTTCACTATGGATACGTTACTTTCTGGTGTACAAGACAAAAGGGTTAATAGAAGACAAGATGCTTTTACATGCTGCCCCAAGTGTTTTTTTACCTTATCATTAATGGTAGGACGAAGCTGTATAAATATGAAGCGGAAAGCTACAACAGGCAGGATACAGAGAAGGAACGTCAGGAATATGGTGAGCCACACATTAGGCTGGTTCAGAGAGTTTCTTGTTGTGCCTGAAATCCAATAATGTCAGAATCACATAATGTTACAGTATTACAGTATATAAGAAAGTAACTTCACAAACTGCAAAAATGGATGATGAAATTTAAATACACAATCCCAGGATACAGCCAGCACAAATCTAACCTTTTTTGTCTAAATGCTAGTTCGCATAACCCTGTTTTAATGTACTCATGTCTCCTTTAAAGTACCAATATTTTAGAATAGAAAAAAACTCGATAACTTCATTAAATTAACATTAAAGTGGCAAACATACTAAATATAGTAAATGTACTTACCAATGAAGGGGAAAGAAGACGTGAACATATAAAACATGCCATTGCTGCACATGGTTAATGTGATGGAAAAGTAGGCCACCATGCTTCCCCACACAAAAAAATGGTTCACTGCTGTCCAGTAATAGGTGTCAAGACACAGCTGAAAAGTATTTACTTTTATCATTATTAATGTCCTGTGTACTTATTTCTTTACATAAACTCAAATTTAGAGACTGACATAGAATGGAAATGTTTCTGTTACAGCAGATTAGTCTGTAGACTAAGTAGCCTCTTTGTTAGGTACCCTCGGTTCAACTGTTTATTAACCAGCCAATCAAATGGCAGGAACTCAATGCTTTTGAACATGTACACGTGGTCAATACTACCTGCTGGAGTTTAGACTAAGCATCAGGGAGGTAAAAAAGCTAATTAAGTTACTTTGAATGCGGTGTGGTTTTGCGTGCTAGATTGGGTATTTCAGAAATTGCTGATCTACTGGCATTTTCCCACACAATTATCTCTAGGGTTTACAAGGAATAGTTCTATAAGAGAAACCATCCAGTGAGCAGCAGTTCTCTGGGCAAAGATTGTTGATGCCAGAGGAGAATTGACAAAATGCTTCGAGATGATAGGAAAGCAACATGGCAACCATGGCATACAGAAGAACAAAAGCATTGCCTGGTATCATAAATCTCAGTAACATTTGGATGGTAGGGTCAGAATCAACATTTGTATCAATACTTCAGGCCTTTTTTTGAAAATTTGCCATAATGAAAATGAGCAGTTCTGCAGGCAAAAAAGGCCCAAAGTGATAATAACCGCGTGCACCTAATAAAGTATCTAATGAGTGCACATGGATTTATGGTATAGAAATGCATAAAAAAAAACCATTAAATGCAATTTTTTCTCAAAGCAGTGCAGTTCACTGAAAAAAAACTGGAGGACAAATAATGTGGCAAAGTTTTGTGATTCTCTATGTTTTCACAATAAATATGTCATTTCCAAGCATGCCTCTGGTAACGAGAGCTGTATTTCTCACCTGTGTGTACACCACAATAAGCAGACAGGTCTGTGCCAATAAAGCAAAAGACTGATAGTCAGCAATCTCTTTTCCATCATCTCTGACTGTGTCATGCATGGAAGCCCATGGAATAAAAAAGAGGATTAAGGAACTGTAGCAGCTGTGCATTACACAGTTCACAAAAGCTTTCTTATTGAAGTATTGGTTCTTCTGGCCTGGAGCGTAGAGCTGAGGATGGTATAAACTCCAACGGTCATTTACATCCTGCACAAAACAAGTTTTAGTGAAAGAGATGAGAAAGCTCAGTGGACACAGAGACCTGACTATGAGACGATAATCTGGTTTATGTAAGTCAACCAAAAACTGATAGTTAATTGTAATCTACATACCTGGTCAAACAGACACATGCCAAGGACTGGAAGAGCTGTGTAAACCATATTGTAGAAGGTGATGAACCAGTCCTCATAAACAGTCTGTGAACAACCACAATGAACATTTAAGTACAACATAAAGAAAAGGTGAATGTGAATCAAGTTATTTGTTTCATTTGTCCTGCATCATTTGAAACTTTTTTGCATTTCTCTCATTGAGATTGATAAACACTTTATGTCCCATTACAAAAGCTACTTAAATTACATTATAGTATAGTTACAATACATATATCTCACCTGTGCAGAAAAACCACAAAAGAAGGCGTACCAGAATTGGACAAGCGTAAAAGTGAAATTCTTGTAAAAGAAATATCCAAGGAACTTGCACATGCGGATGTAGGACCAGCGGCCATGCACCAGCAGGAGGCGCTGAAGGTAACGGAACTGGGCAAAGGAAAAGTCGCTGGACAGCACTGCCTGCATGCCTTCCTGCCCACTGATACCTACACCAATATGAGCAACTGGCAGGCAGAAAAGGAAGCAAATAAAATACACAATAAAATACACAATATCAGCTACATATTTCCCAGCTGGATAGTTGTAATGAAAATACAGCTCTGTATATTGGTGACTTCACAGGTTACCCTTTATCATGCTGACATCATTGGCTCCATCCCCAATAGCAAGAGTGACAGCCTGCTTGTATTTCTTGACCAGCTGAACCACTTGGGCCTTCTGCAAAGGAGTGACCCTGCAGCAAATCACTGTCTGACACATGCATGCTGTCCTCAGCAGCTCCAACCTCAAGTTCTTCTCCAGTGCAAAAGCCTGATGATCAAGAAAAGAATTGATGGAGTTAGGTCATCTGTCAAGATTCTGTAGTGCAACCTTAAAACCTCAAGAGAATTCCATTCATTTCTACATTCATCTCTAAGTTTAAGAAACATGAGAAAATCAGGCTTTAAAAAAAAAAAACAATATGTATTTTCTGATCACACAGTGTGACCTCTACAGGTCAACTAGCAGGGGATTTTCAGCATTTGCTGACAATAGTAATATTGCTAAAAAGAAAAGAAAAAAAATCTTACCAGACTGTGCCCATTTATAATTAGTCCATAATCTCCATCCACCTTCTCATCCTGCATAGTCTCTGTCTTTTTAAGCCAAAACAGGCCTACTCGAGATTTAAACACAGATGGCTCCTCTGCTGCTTCAGGACACATTTTTCGTCGTGCATTCCTGAAAACATGAGGACAGAAAACATGACCTCATAAAAAGTTCACAATTCATTTGTTAACTATATTTTTCTTATAGACAACAATGAAGATATAAGATGAGCCTAAAGATTAACAGGCTAACAGTGTTTAATTTTAAAAAATATTTTCTATCCTCTTAATTGCCGATTTTAGACACATTTTGCCTTTAGTGGCCTCTCTTCTCCATTAAAAAGAGTGTCAAAAATATCTAAACCAACCTTTTGAGACGGACTGTATTTGCACACATTGTGTTTCCATTTATACAATTATTATTTTATTTTTAATTCAATCAAACATGCACAACGCTGAGGATGACTTTGGTTTGACTGTACTTGTATTCAGTCATCAATCAAACCACTCATCCATTTTGGCACTTATCAGCGACAGTAGTCTAAGTAGACATGTCAAAACCTCCCTTACAATGGCCACATCTTCTACCTCTTGTAAGTGCACAAGGAGGTATTGCCAAGCCAGCTGTTCTGAATCTCCCCCACAGCATCCTAAGAAGTCTGAACCCATACACCCTTCAGAAGTAGCTTATTCCCATTCCTTGTAACCACAATCTTAATTTTTCACATTACTACCCACCGTGGAGGAACATAGATGATGGTAGGAATGTTCAATCCCAACCTAGTAACCACAACCATGTAAGGCATGGATGTCGAGCTTTGGTTTTAATGGTTGTGATGAGTTATACAGAATTTACAGAGGGGTAGCATGAAATTATCCCTTGCCACCCCAAGTGCCACCCCAGTTTTGCATATGACAGTGTTGTTTATTAAAATAAGATAGCATTAACATTTTGAGCGTAGTTACAGTCAACGGTGAAAATAAACGCTAAAACTGAATATATTGCATAGTGTTACCCCCCTCCACCATTAACAAATGGTTCAGCCCATAGCAGGACCGACTTTTTTCTTGATTTCAGTAGCAAGCGATGCTTGCGATTGTGCCAGAGCACATTTTGAACTAGTGATGGTAAAATTTATTCTTTTTACTGAATTGAATTTTAATGAGTCACTCACCAAAGTGAATCGGGTTTTTGAGTCATTTGAGTCACTGAGTCAGTTGACCAGAGAGTGCAAAAAATGTACATTTTCACTCAAACTGATGAGTGCTAAGATGAGTGATTCTAAAAGAAAACAACAATTTTTTATAGAGCAAAAAAGAGAAAAAATAATTTCTAAAGAGAACATTTGTTTATTTTTATTTTATTAGTATTTTCCTTAAATGTGTCAAATATATATTTTCTCATCTAAATGTCCACTGAGCTGTGAGCCAGGGGGCGGTAATGCGACTTAACATTGGTTGCCAACCAAGAAGAAGAAGAAGCTGTGAGCCAGGAGGGGAGAGAGAGAATAGAGTTAACTGGAGATCACATACAACAAATGTCAAGTGTCACAATCAAGACAACTCTTTGCATTTACCACTTACCAATGAACATAAAAGTTGTTGTATAATTTGCATGTTATGACTGAGATACAAAGCATCAGTTGTACATAAATTGATAGCTAAAATATCACTAAAAAATTTTGTTGAATAAATCTGAAGTTGTAGGCAATTATTAGTGAACATCCTAGAAATCTTAGGATTTTACTGTACCTTGTTGCTGTGTCTGCGTAGAAAACAAAAATGAAACTTTAACATTACATTACAAACATTTAAATATTAAATCACAGTGATTTTTGTTAAACTGACATCAGTCATGTAACTTTCCTCTGTCAATTTCTTTAACTTCAGAACAATGCCATCAAGACCTCCAAATACAACATCTTCACCTTCCTGCCACTTAATCTTTTTGAGCAGTTCAGGAGGCTTGCTAATGCCTACTTCCTCTTCCTGCTCATCCTTCAGGTAGACATGTTGTCAGAATGAATTGCATGCTTAAAAATAGTTATTTTATGCTGCAGATAGTTATGTGAATGCAAACACTAGCTTATAAAACAATCAGAGTTCAAACTCCACATTGAACACCATCTTTTTAAAATGTAATTTGATTTTAAAATTAGAAATGACACAAATTTTCCTTCTTTATCAAATAATTTTTTTCAACACATTATTTAATGTAAACCATACACTGAAATGAGCTTTAAGGCTTTCAGTTTTCAGATTCTTAAAAGCTCAATTATCAATTTATTAAAACTGCATATGTAACTGTGTGTGTGTTTGTGTGTGTGTGTGTGTTGACAGTTGATCCCACAAATCTCCTCTCTGCCATGGTTCACCACAGCTGTCCCTTTGATATTGGTGCTGTCAATAACAGGAGTCAAAGATGCCAGTGACGATATAGTACGTTGAAATTATTATTAGCAATAGAGAGATCCTGCTCATTATGAAAACCAAAAATAAGAAACTAATATCAGATTTGGAAGCAAACAGTATCTTTTTCTTGTGTCAACTGAGCAGAACAGACACAAATGTGACGGACAAGTGAATAACCGGAAGGTGGACGTCCTCATGGATGGCCAGTAAGTCTTTGGAAACCCAAATGAAAAAGAAAAGAATACCTTTTTTATGAAGAATTATGCTGTTTTGGATTCATTTCTGTGTTGTATGCCTTTGTTCCCTTCCCTGACAGACTCAAAAATGAAAAATGGATGAATGTTCAGGTTGGGAACATAGTCAAACTGGAGAATAATGAGTTTGTCACAGTAAGTTTGGGGAGGCTATAGTAAAGATTTGAAGCAAGTGAAAGAAATTCATTTCAAAAGTAAGTTCCAAACTAAACTCAGTGCTTTTATTTCTTAGGCAGACCTTCTGTTGCTGTCTAGCAGTGAGCCCCTTAATTTAGTTTATGTGGAAACAGCTGAACTAGATGGGTAAGTGTGCTGTACTGTGGTGTTTGTATGCTAGGTTGACACTAATGTCTGACACTGTCTTGGATTTTCCTTGGTCTCCCCCAGAGAAACCAATCTGAAGGTGAAACAGGCTCTGACTGTAACTGGAGAGCTGGGAGACGACATTGAGGCACTCGCTGCCTTTAATGGTGAGAATCTCAATGAAACAACACACAGTCTGATTTTCAAAAGTGAAACCTGGTTCTGTCATTGGGAAATGTCATAGGGGAGAAAAACAAAGAGTTTTTTGATAAAGTAGTATTTCACCTGTTTAAGCTTCTACTGAGTGATTACATTTTCTCACATCTGTGTAGGTTTTCAGTCATCCAGGTCATGGTAGTCTAAGAATCTTGGAAAGAAAGCGACTGGGCTTCTTTACGTTTCTTGAAACTTAGACGTCCAGTCGCTTTCTTTCCATGCATATCCTCATGTATTGCTTTTCTCTACCAATGTAAAAAGCAGATCCTGGGTTTTATTTATTTGTTGTTTGTTTGTTGCTTACTTGAATAGATCTGTTTACATTCACTAGCCACTTCATTAGGTACACCTGCACACCTGCTAATTAATCTAATCAGCAAATCATTTTAACATGTGGACAGGGTTAAAATGATCTGCAGAAGTTCAAACTGGCTATCAAATTAGGTAGAATGTAGATTAAAGGGACTTTGAACGTCACATGGTTGCTGGCGCCAGATGAGTCTGAGTATTTCAGAAAACTGATGACCTGCTGGGATTAACCCACATCTGTAGGTTTCCAGAGAATGGTCCACAAAAGAGAAGACATCCAGTGAGCAGCCGTTCTGTAGGCGAAAATCCCTTGTTGATACCAGAGGTCGGAGGAGACTACACAGACTGCTTCGAGCTGTCCTCTAACTATCCTGTGAACTGTTTAGAATTATTTGCTGACACTGATTTCTGTTTCTCAGGTGAAGTGCGATGTGAACCTCCCAATAACCGTCTAGACAAGTTCAAAGGGACTCTGACTTTGAATGGAGAAAGATATGCCTTAGACAACGACAAAGTGCTGCTCAGAGGCTGTACTCTCAGGAACACTGACTGGTGCTTCGGTCTGGTCATCTTTGGAGGTACACTGTGCACTGCAACTGTGTACAATTTGCAGTTTGAGTGATGTTTTTTTGGTCTAGCCTTTATTGTTTACTCTGATAATAATGTTTGAAGTTGTACATTGTTGTACTAGAGCAGGAAGGAGATGCAGCGAAGGTGTGCAGAAGAAAATCTGACACTAATAATCCTTTCCAGGTCCTGACACTCAAACTGATGCAGAACAGCGGGAAGTCAATATTCAAACGGACAAGCATTGATCACCTGACGAATATCCTGGTGTTATGTGTGAGTTTACACAAGCACAAATACAAAGAAAGTCACACAAAGTCTCAGCTTATAGATATAGAACTTAAAGACAGTGATTTGTTTTTCACCTGAGTGACAAGAGTAATATTGTTTGAATAATCAAGAAGTCTGATGTTTTCATTCCATCAGATCTTTGGTTTCCTGGCATCTATGTGCTCCATTTTGACCATTGGCAATGCAATCTGGGAAACAAATGAGGGCTCTGTCTTCACTATGTTTCTTCCTCGTGAACCGGGCATTGATGCTCCTCTCTCATCATTCCTCATCTTCTGGTCTTATGTCATTGTCCTTAACACAGTGGTACCAATTTCACTTTATGTCAGGTAAGTTTCACACAAAAATGATGAAACCAAAAAACAACCAAAGTTGGTTTGAACACTTGAGACTTGTGCTAATATGTATCACATTTTGAAATTTTACCAATTTGTGCTACATTGTTAGCGTGGAGTTCATTCGTCTGGGAAACAGCTTCTTCAATAGACTGGGACAGGAAGATGTACTATCCTAAGAATGATACTCCAGCTCAGGCAAGAACCACCACACTCAGTGAGGAGCTAGGCCAGATTAAATACATCTTCAGTGACAAGACTGGCACTCTGACACAGAACATCATGACTTTCAACAAGTGCTCCATTAATGGAAAAGCTTACGGTGAGCAGCTTTGCTTGTGTAAAAAGTTAGTACGAGGCAAATGGAAACATAACATTGGTAAATGATTTTTTACAGTATATTTATCTTATATTCAGGAGACCTCTATGACTTCTCTGGAGAAAGAGTGGAAATTACAGAGGTGAGAGGAAAATGCATGATTGTTAGTTTTTAAAGAAAGTATTGATCCAACTTTGTTGTTTTGGCTTTTCTTGCAGAGGACAGAGAGAGTGGACTTCTCCTGGAACAATCTGGCTGATCCAAAGTTCAGCTTTCATGACCACAGTCTGGTGGAGATGGTGAGAAGTGGAAACCCTGAGACTCAGGAGTTCTTCCGCTTGTTATCCCTGTGTCACACTGTCATGCCTGAGGAAAAGAAAGAGGGTGAGGGGTCCTCTAAAAGACATCTTCATTTCATTTACATTTCAGGAGAATTTCGAAATATTCTTGGAGTCTATTTAAAAACTCCAAATTCAGTGCAATAAAAGACATACAGGTACATGGAAATGTGCTCCACCATGCAAATGTTCAAATTTTACCCTTATATGCCAATTAAATTGTCATCTCTGTTTTACCTGGTAGGAGAGCTCAATTATCAGGCTCAGTCACCTGATGAAGGCGCTCTGGTGACTGCTGCAAGAAACTTTGGATTTGTGTTCCATCACGCACACCAGAAACCATCACAGTAGTAGAGATGGGCAAACAAGTCATCTACGAACTTCTGGCCATTCTGGACTTAGTAATTGAGGAAGAGGATGTCAGTGATAGGTGAGATAAGGTGTCAACCATACTTATTTTGGCCACACTTCATATATTCAGAAGTACATTTCTCATTTCTGCATGACATTACGTCAAACTTTCTAACTTTCCCTGTCACTTCCAGTGCGCAGCCCAGAGGGGAAGTTGACTCTATACTGCAAAGGTGCAGACACCATGATCTTTGAAAGACTGCACCCCTCCTGTAACAAACTGATGGAAGTAACCACTAACCACCTCAATGTGAGTGATCCAAAGCATATAAAAGTAGCTTGAAGCTAAATCAATGAAATTTTAATATAATTCAATGTAATTTAACATTTGACTTCTTTCGATTATCAAACAAAAA